ACATGATTAATTCGGCAAACAAGCTATTCAATTATTGGGAGAGACACCATCGAGGGTTCCATGATGCCCTTAGTGAATTAAGTGAAAAAATGACTCCCGAAAATCTAAAAGAATTGATTCCACCACCACCGCCACCGCCTAAACATAACTATCTCAAAGCGTTTTTTATTGCTGCCGCCGTTACCATTGTTTTAGTTGCTATTTATTATACTGGATCATATTATTTAAATGCATATGTTGGAGCTCTAGTAGACTACTATGACGCATCACAAGCCGGTACAATCGCTGCCGAACTTGGTGCTGCAGAAGATGTTATAGCAACATCAGCTGAAGGATCGATAGAAATGATTGATGCAGAAACTTGGGCAGCTAGAGCGTTAGAAAATCCAGCCAATTTAGGAAGATTCAGAGCTGGTTGCTATTCAAGCGCAGAATTGTGCGAATCTTCTGCAATGGGAGAAATGAGAGCAATGTCGACATATTATCAAGAATCCGGTAACCCAAATATTCAAGAAACCCTTGAATCTTTGAGTAAGGCCTCTAATTCCCCAGTAGAAAAGAGGGATATTGGGGATACGAGCGTGATGGATAATGTAGGATTTTTTACGGTTAACATGTTAAATAGTTACTTTCTTCCAAGTTTGATGGACAACGTTCATCAATCATTTACCGGCCACGGAAAAACCTATGCAGATATTTCATCATATCTATCAGCCGCAAGTGAAAATCTCCAATTTCATTTTGAAGATACATTACACAATAATTTTTTTGCTGGAAACAAGTCATTATTAGCTAGTTTTACTATTCATCAAAGGGTGGATGATTATCAATTACTTGATAATGATGATGACGTATTTTATTCTATTAAAAACAGAACATATAACCTTATGGCAGCAACATTAATAAGCAATGTCTTACAAAAGTTTAATGTTGAAATATGTGACCCAAAACCTTCATTTTGCGGACAATCTTGTGATTCTGGTCAAATTTATTGTCCAATAGTCGGAAATGATACTAATAGCTGTGTAATAGCTGCCTCAGATGGACAAATAAAAGAACTTAAGTTTCTTCGAGATACCTTTGATATATGTTCAACTAATACTACGGAGACTGGTTGGAATATAACCCATAATCCCAATTGTGATATTAAACAATTTCAATGTCAATAATATTCATCGACTTTTTTTCTAAAAAAAAATGCTATAATAATTAAATACTATGATTTGTTTTATCCAATTAGAATAAAAAATTTTTCCACATTATAATTTAAGATATTTTATATTGTCACCATTATTAAAGTTTATATATTCACAAATTTGCGAATAAGTTATTTTAATTAAAAACAAGATAATTTTGGTTTTTAAAAAACTTTTTTTCTAAAAAATTTATAACAAAGTCTGATAGTAATAAGAAAATAAAAGCATAAAGCTTAATTTTTTTTTCTCTTATAAATTCACATTTGCGTTAGAGCCGGAGCAGCAATATTTAGTCTAAGTTCAGGCAAATAAACGTATACGGTACGAAACTTCTGCTATTTTATAAACTTTCAAAACCATGAAACTTGATACATTTTACTGCGTCATTCGTAGAGATAAATTTTGATATTATTTAAAAATTAATTTTTATTAATCTTATGATAATATAACAAAAGAAAATTTTTTACTAATGAACTTTTTTAATTGCATGATCACGCGTGTATGAATTAAAATCGAAAATCGATAAAGTTTTATTGTGGCGCAGAGACTTTCTTTGATTGTGGAAATCGCTAAAAAAAAGAAAAAGAAAAAAATGTATATTTATAAGTGTTTGTCCCAAAGAAAATTGGTTTATAAAATTTAATAATATAGACATTGAAATTAGGGTATAAATAATAAATTTCTATAAATTTAAATGATTTTTAAATAAACTATTGCTCTATTACAGTATTCATTATTTAAAAATTTTTTTTTTTGCAACCAAAGTTTTGTTAATGTCTAACTGAACTTTCAGGAAAAAGACAGCTAGGGATGGGCACGGTTCTCTCGACTCTCCTAAGTAAATTAATACTTTGAACGTTATATATAAATAGAGCATGTGATGTTGATTAAATAAAAATTTTTTTGGATTGGTTACAAACAAATCGGTCTGTAATTATCTTGACTCTTTTGAGCCAGATTTTTAAATTTGTAAAACGGTTTATAACTCAGGCAAACTAAAGTATTTAACAGATCCAATCCCTAATGAACGTAAAGATTATGTAAATTCGAATATTCAATTTACAAATGGATATTCAATATATTATTTTCAAGTGGCAACTCACCAAAAATAAAGTTAACGATGATTTTTTAATTATATTTTGCTTTGACATTTTTAAAGTAGTTTAAACCATTTTTTGAACAATTCAGCTTTCATTAAATGTAACACAAATTCTGTACGACAAATTATGACTAATAATATAAATAGTAATTGAATCGAGAATATTCAATTTTTTTTTTATCTTAAAAATTAAATTTCGGAACGTATTTAATGCTTCTACATATGAAGGTAAAAGCATTTACGCATACAAATCAAATTACCATCATCCTTCAGTAATCAAGCTCTATTATCTTGCTAATAGATTATACAATAATATGGATTCACCAACCGCATGGAATATTAATGATGAACGTAAACGTAATCTTTTAAGACTAAATGGAGACAAGCATATAATGACTTATGCAGGTGTGTTTATTACATTTCATTATTATAATTTGCTGTTTCGTATGGAATTAATTCTTGCATAACTCCACATTATTATAATTTGCTGTTTTCGTATGGAATCACTTATTCTTGCATAACTTCAATTTTTCAAATATAAAGGTCTGGGTAAGATAAAAAACTGTGCTGCAATTCGAGCAAATTATCCCATACCTGAGCAATGTGGATTATTTTATTTGAAGTTGATATTATAGATAAAGGGAAAAATGGGTTTGTTGTAAAACTTCGGAACATTTTTTTATATATACTATTTAAAATTTGTTATATTCTATTCTTAAAATTTCCATAGGGAGATTGGAATCAGGTTTTTGTACACAAGAAGCTAGCCTAAATAAAATGCCCGGTAATTTTACCTTTATAATTTATCACCGGTAATTCGCTAAAATGAAATTATTTATTTTACTACAGTCAACTCTTTCTACAACGAATTTTGATATAACGAATTTTACAATACAACGGATTTTCAGTGTCGGACAG